ACACTCCACACAGCTTGCTCGCGGGAGGACAGGGGAGCTGCTTCACAGATCCCTGCCTCCCGACACGGAAGCAGAGTAGGCGCCTGCCAATTTGGGCAGGCAGGTGCCTACTCTGCATTGATGGCGAACCTATGGCTGCGTGCCCACAGAAAGGGCCCGGCGTGCCACCTGTGGCACGCGTGCCATAGGTTCGCCATCACTGTGCTATAACAAAAAAAAAAAAGTCTATAATTTAAGCAAAGGATGACATTGTGGAGCGGTGTAATGCCGCCATTTTAAAAAGCTTGGAATGTAGCATATATACTAATATATGCTTATACAAACATTTGTTCTATTTTACTGTGAAGCAGCATTGCATGCAGTGCTGTACTGATATATGCTTAGGAAGTAGAGCCAGCTATAGGAACTAGGAAGGTAAATATAAAGAGTGCCATAAAATAGGACATACAAGCCAAGTACCAGCAGTAAATGTGAAGATCCTGTAATTTCTCCAGTTCTGACTGTATGTATGCACAAACTACTAAACAAGGTAAATCTTACACCAATATAGACAAAGCAAATAGTCAAGTGAAAAAACAACTTGAAGGCTTTCTCAGCTATCAGATACTTTGAGCTCCCTGCAGCCCAAAATAATGTCCACTATTTACTGGCTACGTTTCATAGCCAGTAAATACGTTTCATACCTGTTGAGGTCTCCTCTTGAGTTCGGCAGTGTCCAGCCAAACGCCGCACTCCTCGGGCTGTAGACTGCGGGACTCCTTCACCTTCATATTCTAATATGGACCGATTAGCTTCCTAAAATGTGAAGAATATATCCTGCAGAAAGCACATACGCAAACCGAAAAAAAAACATGGGACCTGACACACTCAAATCTCCCGCGGCAGGTCCTCCAGAAACGTATTTATCCTGCCTTAATGACGTCACCTAGGAATATAGCTGCCCAGCACACTGCCTGAAACAATGTATTTCCGGTGTTCTGTAACACGATTTCCCTACTATACGTCACATCGTATAGTAGCTATTGCCTATGCTGCGCATGCGTGGTCGGACTCCAGACGGGTAGGAGGACCCTGTCCTTTCTGAGGATAGGAAATAGTTTGCTCAGTTTGAGTAAGCTAATTCCTATCCTTGTAAAGGACCTTTTCGCCCCCTACTGGTCAGGCCCTGTATAGGGATAGGAACTATCCAGCTCACACTGAGAGAGCTAGTTCCTATCCTGCTAAATGACCTATTGCTCCATAGTTTTCAGGTCCTCTTAAAAGATAGGAACTAGACAGTGAGAAATCTAGTTCCTATCCAGCAAAAGGACCTTTATAGCTCCAGCTCACACAGGTCCCTTACATGGATAGTAATACCTAGTTCCTTTACTGCTAAGGGACTTCTATACCTTCAGCTAACAATGGGCCTTTACAGGGATAGGAACTAGACAGCTTACAGTGAGAAATCTAGTACCTATCCAGTTAAAGGACCTTTATAGCTCCAGCTCACAAAGATCCTTTACAGGGATAGTTTTTATACTGCTAAGGGACTGTAAACCTTCAGCTAATAGTGATCCTTTAGAAGGATACGAATTCCTAGTTTTTATACTGCTAATGAACCTTTATTGATTGCAAACTTCTCAGCTAAAGGGAATGATTTTAACTTATGTGGAGCACAAGACCGCAGATCTGAGTTTGTTACACGCAAAGACCTGCTACAGCCCTTGCGGCTCATGATGACTGGATGCTGCGGGCCGGTAGGGAGACTGAGTTGGTCCCAACTTCGTAAAGCTGTAGCAGTGTGGAAAGTGGGGGACAGTTCATATGTGGGTGCAATGTCAATTTAAAAGTAAAGGGATGCAATTGCTGGCAATGGAGAAATTGAAGATAGTGGCATATAGACCCACGTAAGGTGGGGGGGGATATATGGCACTGTGATTAGATACAATACCCATATTCAAGTCATTGATTTGAAATAAAATTCACTTAAAGGGACACTATAGTCACCTGAACAACTATAGCTTAATGTAGTTGTTCAGATGAGATCTATAGCTCCCTGCAGGCAATCTAATGTAAACACTGTATTTTTCTGAGAAAATACAGTGTTTGCATTGATTGATAGGAATACCTCCAGTGGCCGTCACTCAGACGGTCACCAGAGGGACTTCCTATTATGCAAGGCCCTGTGCGCGCCTTTTCTCTTCTGCCTGTCAGTAGAGGAGGTGGGCGGGCAAAGACTGCGAGCTCAGGACTTCAGAGGGCATGAATGCCGCCCTCTGAAGTATGTGTGCATGTGCGGCGAAGCCGCGCATGCGCACAAGGGAGCAATGACGCTTCCAAACGGAAGCATCTGATTGCTCGCGCCGCCTATTTCGTTATTTTGACGAAATAGTGGGCGCGACTTCACGAGGCTCCCGGCGTTGGAACCAGGTGAGTAAACACTGCTGCCTGGAGAGTCCCTTTAAACATGCTGAACTGTTAATGCTGAGATTTTCTTTTCTTCTTTTGACTTCCGCAGTGTCATTATATACCTAAATTTATTGTTTAGTTTATGGGTACTGGTCTGGTTCATTTCAAACTCCAACATTTTTTCATTTGTTGTAAACTCATAGAGGGTGATTTTGTCCAGGGAGCGGCAGCCGCAAGTGTCAGGAAAAGTGAGAAGAGGTGCATTGGCTGTTATATTTATAAAATCCACTGCACTGGTTTTATACATCACACAACACATTTGGCTTCTGAAATTGAGACTCTGCCACGCACAGTTTGGTGAAGATTATTAGAGGAATTTTAGGCAAATAGCACCAGAGCAAGGTGGAAGTTCAAAAACAGCACTAGTAGCACAAACTCCCTACTTTTGCCATGACTTTATGTTGGAAATTGGAGCACACTAAGATTGTGCCACTATTGGGCACAATTTCTTTCAGCGCCACCTATAAAAATCCCGACACATACTACACCTGTGTGGTCTAACTATTTACTCACAACCAATCTTCATCTGAGCTGCAGAAACTCCCAGCTGTCTATAGAAATTTTGTAGAACGTTTGTAAAACTTGGTGTACCACAGTTGTTGCAGAAAATGGCACTACCTCCTACTCAAGTATTAACTTTTTCCAAGTCAACCATATGCTTTACAGATTAAATACGTTTTACATTAAAAAAAACGAAAAAAAACTCCTTTTGCAATGGTTCGCCATTTATAGGCTGGGGTAGGGCATTTTATTGCTTTTTTTTGCAAGGGCTGTCGTAGCTTTTTGTTAGTTGGCTGTAGTGCCGTTTTTTTTTTTTTTTATGGGCATTTTCATACACATTGATAAGGACATGTTACCCGAAGATTGTGAAAAATAAAGAAAACTGGTTTATTTTATCTGAAACTTTGTGAAGCAGAATGGGCATATCTGTGTTTACTACTCACATCTTCTTGCCACTGTTTTCAAGGCAAGATATATCATAGAAAAATTGTTAATTTTTTTTTTCATTTTATTTATTCAATATTCTTCCATCTACCCTGGACTCATAGTGCCCTCCCACCTTTAACTGTGTGGTCTTTAAACATCTAGCAGGAGAAAAATGCAGTTATTGACCTTTTTTTATATATATATTCTACCTTGCTTTTACAATACACAGCTATGCTAGTTCACACTACCTTTGGACATGTCCATTACACAATACTTTGTAGGCAGCATCTTATGCCCGGGCTCCTATTTCACAAACCACACCTGCTACTATGTGGACTTAATCCGTGGATTGACAAATTCCACTGGAATCTAGGAGCCAGCTGAAAAAAAAGTTAATAGTCAAGTTTTTGTTTTTTCTAAAACTAACAAAGGTATATTTAAAACAACAAAAATAGTCCCCAGAACCACTGCAGCTTAATGAAGTGGTTAGTTAAGCTTGTACATTGAAAGGACGTAACTGTTACATCATCCCATGTTCTGCGGAGATGTCTGGCTTTGGTTTCTGGTATCCAGTACTCTTTTTACAATTCTTGTTTAGTTTTTTGGTTTTCTATTCTATGTCTGGTTTTCTTTATGCTGGGTTTTTCTGGGTTCATTCATGTAATCCGTCCCTGGAATTCCCAGTGTCCAGGTTTCCTTTAAATGTTTGTTGCCACAGCCGCTTGTTTTCCATTTTCCTTTTGTTTCAGTCTGGACCTGCAGCAGTGTTTCAAGTCTCTGCCCTTTCTTGCAGGTAAGTGCTATTGTGGTTTAGTATTGTTCTTTTAGCGAACATTAGGCAGTGTAGGACCTGCCAAATATGGGGTACATTGGCGTTGTGGCAGGCTTATGCAATGTATGATCATATAATGTAGCTAAATTATTATGATAATACTTTTCATATATAGTGCTTAGTTATGTCTCCTCTTGTTTTGCCTCTCATATCTTGTCTTGTTTTAGTTTGTATTCCTAGTCCATGTACAGTCCTGTCCTGCCCCTGTTTAGTTAATGTTCCCTTATGTATTGTGTTCATGTTCTGGGTTTAGCTTCCTATTCTTCTCTGGTTCTGGGTTCTACTAGTTCTGTCTTGTTTTCATGTTTGGTGCCTGTTCTAGCCTTGCCTTGTTTCTGTACTGGATACATGTCTGCTGCAGAACCCCCCTATCCAGTACCTGGGAGGTCTGCATATCAAGCTCTTAGTTCCTGGGATCCGCTGTAGCTGCATCAGGGTTATGGTATGTGGCCATGCAAACCCTGGCGCTCAACACCAGGGGGCGTGTGGTTACCCTGCACCAGGCCCTGATAAATCACTTCCACACTGGAGACTCCCAACTTTTCATTCAGGGGTCCCGGTTTCCGGACCGCCACCATGACAATCACATATGTAGTATGGCACATGGTCATCTTTGTTCCCCCTCTTCTAGAAAAACCCTATCGCTACACCCTCCTTTTCTAAGAACACCCTGCCTAGTAATGCCCCCTAGATAAACTTAGAATCAATTTGTTGCATGCATATTTTATGCTGTCTGTACAACCTTTCCATGCTGTTCGTTAATAGTTGGTAATTAATGATACTCCCCCTTATTGCATATGATTTAAAAGCTGCGTTCTGTTTAATACATTTTGGACATTTTCTGCATTCCTTTGTATGGTCTCTCAAGAGTGTCTCCAAGTACTTGAGGTCGTGGTACAGTCTGGATAGAACTATAAGACCATGGCAGGTAATTCTGCTGACCATCAAGGACAGGACAGATGTTCCAACACTTAATATCGTGATTCTGGTGTCTATAGCTTGTCCCGGCAGGGTTTTCAATGTAAACACTGCATTTTGAGAGAAAATGCATCTCTATGAGTAGATGCTGATTGGCGCAGTGAGGCATTTTGCCACACATGCGCAGTAGCCTCCCAATGCTATCCCATGGAAAGCAATGGACTGGTTGAGATAATCAATAATGATTATTAGCCATGGAGGCAGGGCCAGCCACTGCAAGCCAACACAGTGTGGGAAAAAGGTGAGGGCACCAGTCACACTCAGACATACTCACTAACAGACACACACCTATAGTAAAGTGCTGCCGAATTTGTTGGGGCTTCATAAATACTAATATTAATACTGGCACATACACACACATTCTCTCACACACTCACAAATTATTAGTTTTTTAATTTAATGGCACCCAGCCTCCCTACGTTAGGGAATGCTTTCCCTCAGGTCCAGTGTGGTGTTTGCTCTGCCTCTTCGCGGGCCGGCTTCAGGCATCACAGCAGAGCAACAAGATCACAGCTCCTTCACCACCGCCTCCATTCTCCCCCAGCCCCCTAAACGCACTGACAAATACCCAAACGCCAGGAGAAAATTCCTAGTCGCCATGGTGATTGGCCCACCGGGATACCGGGGAATTTCCAGGTGGACCGCTGCACCTGGGGCTGGCAGGAAGCCCTAATGTGTAATTTAAATAATTTTCCCTCGGACTGTAATAGCCTGTGTCAGTCCGAGGGAAAGAAGGGGGGGGGGCTGCCTTTTAGGCTGTCAGGGGGCCGGAGGGAGTTCTGAGTCTCACTCCTTAACCCCTTAAGGACACATGACATGTGACATGTCATGATTCCCTTTTATTCCAGAAGTTTGGTCCTTAAGGGGTTAAAGGACCACTCCAGGCACCCAGACCACTTCAGCTTAATGAAGTGGTCTGGGTGCCAGGTCCAGCTAGGGTTAACCCATTTTTTTTTTTTTTTTTTTAATAAACATAGCAGTTTCAGAGAAACTATGTTTATAAATGGGTTAATCCAGCCCTCAAATCCTCTAGTGGCTGTCTCATTTACAGCCGCTAGAGGCGCTTGCGTGATTCTCACTGTGAAAATCACAGTGAGAACACGCAAGCGTCCATAGGAAAGCATTGTAAAAGCGTGTGCATTCAGCCGAAAGGGAGGAGAGGAGGATCGGAGGAGGAGAGCTCCCTGCCCGGCGCTGGAGAAAGGTACGTTTTAACCCCCTTCCTCTCCCCAGAGCCCGGCGGGAGGGGGGACCCTGAGGGTGGGGGCACCCTTAGGGCACGGAAAACGAGTGTTTTCCTGGCACTATAGTGGCCCTTTAACCCCTTTAGACCGGAGGGCGTACTATTACGCCCTCTTATAGGCGGCTCTAAACGCCGCCGGGCGTAATAGTACGCCCTCCGGTCTTTCTGTACTCACCCGGTCGCCGGCGGTCCCACGCCGGCGATCGCGGTGGGAGGGACTCCCAGGGAGCCCCCCGCGGCACGTCCGTCTTCCAGGAAGCCCCCCGGCCGTGTGAGAGTGGGGTCCTAGCGAGGACCCCACAATCACATGGCCGGGTATAGCTGGCTTCTGTATTGCCAGCAGGGGGGCTGCCTGTAATTACAGGTGGTCCCCCTGCTGGCTGAAAATAAAATACACATATACATACACACGTACACCGTCTAGGTGTATTTTACTATTAATATATATTAATATATATATAATTATATATATATATTAATATCAAATTACACGTAGACTGATACTGATTAAATATATATATAATTATTGTTATATATATATTTATATATATTATAAAAAAAATTAAAATGTAAATACGTTAAAAAATAAAATTAAAAAAATTATTAAAAATAAATAATTAAATATATAGATGTGTGTTATTTCGTTCTAACTGTATTGTGAAATTAATATATATATATATCAAAATACACGTAGAACGAAATAATATATATATCTTTATACATAAATATATACGTTGTGATCCTTGTTTGCAGGTAGCACGGTCCTCTAGGGCAAAAACATGCACAGTCCTTGTAGTTGCAAATACTCCAGGCACTTTATTTGTAAGTTCACACAGGATACAGCAGTTAAATGAAAACATAAATGTAACAGAAAACCCTATAAACAAAAAACCTAGCTTGTCTGAGCACTAACTGACATAAGTTTCCCTATCTCTCAGGGTTACACTAAACAATATTGCACCAACCTTTTAGATAGCAACACTCTGCTATCTAACCTGTTGCTTTCCTTTCTGCACTCCCAGTGCTCCAAGCCAGCTTTGCCCTGACTGCTTTCCTTTCTGCACTCCCAGTGCTCCAAGCCAGCCTTGCCCTGACTGCTTTCCTTTCCGCACTCCCAGTGCCTAGTCTCTTTGACTCTATCTGGAGAGATCAGCCTCTCTCCTACCTGCTTCCTGGGAGGAAGCCAGCAATCCCCCTCTACCTGTCTAGCAGGGAGGAGTTTATTCCCACTGCAACAGCTCATTAACTGCAGCTGAGCAGTGGGTTGGAGACAGTCCAAAAACCCCTGGCCTGGATCTATGTCTCCCCAGAAAACCACTAAACTGTGGAGTGGAGCATTGGCCCACCCTTCTCTCCAAATGCTCCACCCCAGGGGCCCATAACTAAACAATGCGTTGTGTTGTGCAAAACACAAACTACACATACTCCCCCTGGGGTTAAAAGGCCTATCTGCCTTCACTTTATCACAACGTATATATCACTATATATATATATACCTATATATAAATAAAAATATTTTAAAAAAATTATATAGATATATACATATATATACACATACGTATATATATATATATACACATATATTAATTCTACATATATATTTATGTAATATTTTTACATAATTAGGTATCTTAATTAATTACAATTAGCAGGACCTGCCTGACAACTCATGCCGAAAGTAAAGGGAATTTAATTTGCTAGCACTATATTTAACCCTATAACTTTCCAAGACACCATAAAACCTGTACATGGGGGGTACTGTTCTACTCGGGAGACTTCGCTGAACACAAATATTAGTGTTTCAAAACAGTAAAATGTATTACAACGATGATATCGCCAGTAAAAGTGAAGTTTTTTGCATTTTTCACGCACAAACAGCATTACACGGACAATATTATTGCTGTGATACTTTTTACTGTTTTGAAACACAAATATTTGTGTTCAGCGAAGTCTCCCGAGTACAACAGTACCCCTCATGTACAGGTTTTATGGTGTTTTCAAAAGTTACAGCATCAAATATAAGGCTTCTGTTTCATTTTTTTCACATTAAAATTCGCCAGATTGGTTAGGTTGCCTTTGAGACCCTATGGTAGCCCAAGAATGAAAATTACCCCTATGATGGCATACCATTTGCAAAAGAAGACAACCCAAGGTATTGCAAATGGGGTATGTCCAGTCTTTTTTAGTAGCCACTTAGTCACAAACACTGGCCAAAATTGGCGTTTTTTGCATTTTTCACACACAAACAAATACTAACGCTAACTTTGGCCAGTGTTTGTGACCAAATGGCTACTAAAAAAGACTGGACATACCCCATTTGCAATACCTTGGTTGTCTACTATTGCAAATGGTATGCCATTATGGGTGTAAATTTCATTCCTGGGCTACTATAAAGTCCCAAAGGCAACGTAACCAATCTGGCGAATTTCAATTTCAAATGTAACGTGCTATATTTGACCCTGTAACTTCCCAAAATGCCATAAAACCTGTACATAGGGGGTACTGTCTTACACGTGAGACTTTACTGAATACAAATATGTGTATTTTATTGCAGTAAAAGCAAACAGTATTATGACACTGACCGTTAAAATGTCATGTAGAACTAAAAAAATTAAAAAAATCGTATTTTCTCCCATTTTTTTCATATTAAATTATGTTTCATAGCTAAATATTTGATATTAAATGAAAGCCCTGTTTCCCCTGAATAAAATGATATATAATAAGGGTGGGTGCATTTACTATGAAAGAGGTGTATTACGGTTGGACAGACATGTAGCGCAAATGCCAGGTTTTGTTTACATTTTGTTTTGTTAACAACGTGTACATTTGGCTCCGTCCTTAAGGGGTTAATCTTCAGCAATTCGTGCCTCTAAGCTCCGCCCCCAGATGCAAGCCCCACCTCTCTGATGCAAGTCCCGCCTCCTGTGAGCAAGCTCTGCCCCCACACACTGCTGACCTGGAAGGAAGAGTTCAGAAAATGGAGGCATCACATCCCAGTGCTCCTATTCTCCCACAGCCTTTTGTGACAGGTAAGTAAGGTGAAGTGGCCATGGTGCTTTAGAGTGTAAACTTATTTAAAACTTGCCTATAACTACTGGGGGGCTGAGAATTGTTTAGACTGAGCCATGGTTGACTGCCCACACAGTTTATACACTCTATGGATGAACTTTAACAGACTTCCATTTATTTATCCCATTTTATTTTTGCTTTTGTCTTTACACTATATATCCTTATATTTTAGTTTCTCTGATTAAACAAATTTGCCTGGTTATATTGATTTTTTTGCCTAAATTATATGTATTTTAAATGTACAAATTAATTTGGTCACAAAGCAAAAAAGTTGTGGGAGGGGCTATAGACCTACTTAAGGGACTCCCCCCTTTCCCTCACTTACCTTCGTTGGTCTAGACGAACAGCCTGTTACTCGCAGGCTTCCGTTACTCCCGACTTCCTGGTTTGTATCGTCACTTCCGGTGAGACGCGGCGCACTCCTCTGACGTCATGCGCTGACTTCTGCCGGCTCCACAGGCCCGCCGGCTCTCCAAACCCGGCCCTGAACAGCGGTACAGCCGACCGGCCTCTCCTCCTCGCCAACCCGTTTTGGTGCGGTAAGCTGGGCTCCCCATGTGGGGATTACAGGACAGAGACTCCATTACCACTTAGGAGTCTCTGTTCCCAGCCGCCGGGGAAACCGGTCTTAAGGGGAAGAGGGGGGGGGAGACATATACTTACGGCCCGGTCGGGAACAGGCCACAACCAGACCCCTATATCATAAGGGGTCCCTGTTCCTGCCAGCAACACACATGGGGGGGGGGCACAAAATAGTTGGGTGCAGGATTAAAACCCCGGTCCACAACCTTGCATAATGGATACGTTCCACTGCTGGCTGACCCTTAGTTCAGCCAGCTGCCACCGTACATGCCCATAGAATATGTGTGTGTGTGTGTGTTTAAAGTGGAATAAGATACATTAAAGTACCTTTCAATAAACCTTCTGTTATTTATGCATATACTGCTAATTAGGATGCTGGTTAAATTAAGTTAAATCACAGGTTTAAACATATGTGTATGATTTTGCTTGTTAAACATAATAATACATGATATATGTTTACTTATGGCGGGCTAGATATGTTAGGAGTTCTGCATGTATAATAGCAATCGTTAAGTCTTAAGATAATTATACCTCAGTTACGGTTAAAGTACATGGCCTACTGATGGCATTATGTACTTTGGGGGGACAGTACTCGCTGCAGTCCCCCCCAGAACTCTTACTACGTCAATTTTATGTATATGTTCTTCATGAGAGTACATTATCTAAAATTCTCATAACCCCAGGCACCCGCATACCCTCGGACGGTTCACCTAAGCTAACCCCCCCACACTCAAGAGACATCTGAATTCTCTTACACAGAACCAGTGCTCAATTTTCTGCAGGTATGTTGATTTGCACGTTTTCTTTTTCAACATGGCCATGTTAGTTAATTCCCTGCCCCTTAATCCTAGTGGTCCGCAAGGCCAACTCCCATCCTCCACTTCGAGGTACTTCACGCCCCTCGGGCCAAATCATAGTTAGCCGCCTCGCAAACTATAGAGAGGGCGACACCTGTCACTACCACTACACTACCACTCAGACACTTCGCAGGGCTTAGGACACCAGCTTGTGCCATATGTACGTCACCCGCTCACACAGCTTATTTGTGCCCACTCTGCCCGGACAGCGCTCCAGCACATCATTACAGCAACCCCTTAAAGCTGAGAAACAGACCAGAGACAAATTGGGTCGTCCGGTAGTGTACCTAGGCAAACCACAATTTTGCAATAATTTCAATGAGGGCTCCTGTGGTTACAGCGCTTGCCGCTTATTGCACGTATGCTCACACTGTTTTCGGGCACATGCGAAATCTATGTGCCCAAATAAAATGTTCCAGAAACCTTATTTGTCTCCAGTGAACGTTCCTGTACTTGAACATATGCTGTCCACTCACCCCTCCAAACACCTGGTGGAATTTTTATGCACAGGGCTCATTTACATGCCAACAGGGGTTTTAGAGTGTCACAATTTGCAGTCAGCCACAAATAACCCTACTACAGTCACTACCTTGCTACAACTGGAAGTGGACCAGGGATTTGTCATCGGGCCTTTTGGTAACCCCCCCTTTTCCAGCTGGAGAACTAACCCTATCAGGCTGGTTTCCAGCAAAAATTCTGATAAACTAAGGCTCATCATTGACCTATATAATATAGCTAAATAGGAGCTCTGTTTGCCAAGGACGTCCCAATATTGGAACAATGGGGCGTGAGAGGCAACACAGAGCCTTTTGGTCAGCTGGTGTTGTCAGCTCCACCAAGGGCTTGGACCCTAATAATTTACAAAATAGTAAGTGTGATCTCCATCTGGGGAGATCATGAAATGCTGACACAAATAATAAATGGACAAATATGAACCACTTATGCACAAAATAGTAGTAATAATAATAACCAGTGGGGTCTTGTAAAGGGGAAAAGAACAGGGTCTAAATACAACTATACCATTTATATTGAAGAGACCCTTAATTCTTCTAGAAGGCTAGATTAAGAGAGTAAAAATAAAAAATCTTTATTGAATCACAAAAAAGGACTAGCCAAAAAAGGAAAGCCACCCCAAAAAGATAAAAAACAATAGGGGTAAGGCTTTATTTCAAAATCCCCTTAAATCAAAAACTCATAGTAGAGATGGAGCTAGATTCTTGGTATAAACATCCAAAATGGATTGTATTAATGTAGCTCAATGCTAGTAGCAACAGGATTAATAGGGCTTGGACATTCTGGTAGAGAAGTAGAAGAGCATAGATCCCTATCAAGGGTAAGAATCAAAGGAGAAATATGAAGGGACAGAAGCAGGGGAGAGGGGAGGGGTGAATACACACCCTTTCTAATATACTAAATACATAAATCAACCTCAAAAAACTGAATCTGTCCCTAAACTCCATGAAACACCTTCATGGGTGTTCTAATCTGAATGCTCATTCTAAGGAAAATATCGCCCACTACCTGTTTGCTACAGGATCCCCACCGGCTAAAGTTGAGAAAAGAGAATTACTTAGTGTTCAACCCTATAGTGCCCAACCCATTAGTGAAAAAAAGTAAATAAAAATAAAAAGCAGTCAGGACATATCGATCGCCCGACGCGCGTTTCGGTGTCTAAATGACACCTTCGTCAGGGGCTAAGGAAACGCCGGCTGAAAAAGCCGGGACTTTTAAATGGTCTGTGAGCCAATCATCTCCAGGGGTTCCCTGTCTCAGCCCCTCCTCCAATCGTCATTAATGACGTATGGGATAGTCCTCACGTGATCCATGACGCGAAGCCCCACGTGGACGCATAGAGAGGAGGGGGTGGGACCAGATTACATCACTATGAAGGACATCTATATCTAAAACCTACCCTCCTCAATCTAATTCGTCGGGATGTGTTAGTCTAGATATAGTGCGCTAAATAAAGGAGTGATTAGGTCCCTCCAGCTACTATTACTATGTTATAACAAAAATAGAAGATAAATAATAATAATGGGTTCTTGGTTTTGCACCTTTGAAGTGGTGTGTAATATGTTTTTTTATATGTTTATATATAGTCATAGTAATGGTGAAAAATTCTTAATGAGTGAAATAAATAAATTCTATCGTACTGCATTATTCACTAGTACTATATATCGAACTATTATTGTATATTCATAAATGTACACTTGAATTACCGAATATAGTAATATAATATCATTAAAGAGGTGCTGGGATCGCTCAATGTATCCCCTTCAGAAATATAGACTTAAAGTGTCAAGTGTAGCAATATGATATTATAGAAGAGGTGCTGAAATCACCTCAGTGTTCACCTTCATAAGTGTTAATTATTTCAAAAACTAATCATATTTCAAGTTCACTAATTTTGCTATTGTCATGGGTCATCCTATCCTTTATCAGCTGCTTCATATGTTTGTAAAACGAAAAAAGGGGAAACAGAAAAGGATATGGCTATTCCAGACCTTTAAATAGTAATTTGAATATCTAATCTTTTAAAAAATAATAATAAATAAATAATAAGTGCAAAGATATTTTAATTTGTCAACATTTATATATGTGAGATCGTGTAATAAAAGGAGAATAAGAGAATCCCTCATTCAAACCTTTAGGGTACAAAGTTTGCAGACGGTAAATCCAGTAGCATTCTCTCTTTCTAATTTGCAGGTCCCAGTTGCCTTTTCTTTGATCTTGTTTTATAAGTTCGATGCCTTGGAATTTTAGAACAGTAGGGTTTCCCTCATGAGCTGTTTTAACATGTCTTGAGACCGGAGTCTCTATATGTCAGAGTTTTTACCGAGTTGATATGTTCTAGAATTCTTCGTCTAAAGGGGCGAAAAGTTTTTCCCACATAAGACATCCCACATTGGCAGGTAATCAGGTAGACTAATCCTTTGGAACTGCAATTGAAGAAGGCTGGAGTATCGAAGTGTAGGCTTTTGGAGCTATCATGAAAGGACTAAGAGTCTTTTTTTTATAAAGTCACAAGCTTTACACCTACCACACTTGTAGGTGCCTTTAAGATTATTAGTTAACCAGTGTTTAGGTGCTTGTGTCCTCTGAAAGCAGGGCCGGACTGGCCCACCAGGATACCGGGAAATTTCCCGGTGGGCCGTGGCACCTGGGGCCGGTCTGACAGCCTGTAATCCCGGCCGGCCATGTCCCCCATGTGTGAGCTGTGCGGCCGCACAGAGCCCCATGGGAGCACTGGGAGCCGGCCGGCACAGCTCACACATGGCCGGCCGGGATCATAAAAATAAAATAAAAAATTTGCGGCGGGGGCGGAGCTTACATGTGACGGCCGGGGCGGAGCTTAGCGTGCGGCGGGGGCGGGGCTTACTGTGCGGCGGGGCCCTGGCTGACTGCAGCATGGGAAGCAGGAAGGAGTCCCTGCTTCCCCAACAACAACCCTGCAGGAACTCCAAGGGATCTGGAGGTAAGAAGGAGGTCAGTGTGACTGTCTGTGTGTGTGTGACTGCCTGTGAGTGACTGCCTGTGTGTGTGACTGTCTGTGTCTGTCTGACTGTGTGTGTCTGTCTGACTGTGTGTGTGACTGTGTGTGTGTGACTGCCTGTGTGTGTGACTGTCTGCCTGTGTGTGTGACTGTGTGCGTGTGACTGTCTGCCTGTGTGTGTGTGGCTGTCTGCCTGTCTCTGTATGTGTGGATGTTTGCCTCGGTGTCAGTGACTGTCTGCCTCTGTGTGTGCGTGCGCCTGCTAGTGAGGGAGCCTCTGTGTGTGTGTGTGTGTGTGTGTGCCTGCTAGTGAGGGAGCTTGTATGTGTGTTAGTGAGCTCTTGTCTGTAATGAGCGTGTGTGTCCGTGAGCGTGTGTGTCAGTGAGCATGTGTGTGTCAGTAAGCTTGTCTGTAGTGAATCTGTGTGTTAGTGAGCTGTTCTGTAGGGAGCATGTGTGTGTCAATGGGCTTGTCTGTAGGGAGTGTGTGCGCATCAGTGAGCTTGTCTGTAGTGAGCGTGTGTGTGTGACAGTGAGCTTGTCTGTAGTAAGCTTGTGTGTGTATCAGAGTTTCTGTACTAAATTTGTGTGTGCCAGTAACCTTGTCTGTGTGTGTCATTGAGATTGTCTGTCAATGAGCCTATTTGTGTGCATCAGTAAGATTGTCTGTGTCTTTGTGTGAGTATACTTTACTGTATAATTTAATTACCCTAAAATAACTAATATTTTGAATGAGAAGAAGAAATGTATCAATAATATATATATATATGTGTGTGTATATATATGTGTGTGTGTGTATGTATATATGTATATGTGTATATATATATATATATATATATATATATATATATATATATACTATTGCATCACCAGAGCTCCAGTATCCAGGCAATTGAAATAGTTGGCTGCACTCTCAGATTTCCTTAAAACTTAACTTTTATTGAAATATGTAAGAGAAGATCAATGTTTCAGTGCCTCTTGTGGACTTTCGGCATGATCCTGATGCAAGTCCACAAGAGGGACTGAAACGTTGATCTTCTCTTAAATATTTCAATAAAAGTTACATTTAAAGGAAATCCGAGAGTGCAGCCAACTATTTCAATTGCCTATATATATATATATATATATATATAAACACTCTACATAGCACAATGACTTATGGGGCTGGCATAGATTTTTTTCCAGGGCTGCTTCATATCCCCAGTCCGGCCCTGTCTGAAAGTGACTCCGTACAAGGGAATCTTTTAAATTCTTCCCTCTCCTTGCGGTGAGGGCTGCCTGTTTTGGGATGATGTCTTTTAATAAATCATCTTGTTTTAGCAGAGGCCAAAATCTGTTCATGATAGATCTGACACAATCCCAACCTGCATCATAGGTGGCTATACACCGAAGTGGTTTGTTGTCTGGATTGATTTGTCTGTGAGGTGTTATTTCCTCCATTATCAGACTCTCTCTATCCGTGATGAGAGCTCTATGATAGGCTCTCTTCAAGCATTTATTTGGGTACCCTTTAGATCTAAACATAGCTCGTAGATCTTTCGCCTTCATTTTGAAATCTTCCACATCTGAACAATTGCGCCGAAGGCGCAAATATTGACCAATGTGGATGCCCCTCTTTTTGGGGGACTGGGTGATAGCTACCCCAATTAAGTAAGCTGTTTGTGGCTGTACTTTTCCTGAATAGATTAGTCTTGATGGTACCGTTGGGATTTGGGATTAGGACAAGGTCTAAAAAGGTTAGTGAGGGCGTTCCTATCTCGATTGTGAATTTGAGATTCAAATCATTAACATTAAGTTTCTGTACAAACTTTGCAAATTGTTCGTTTGTGCCTGTCCATATGATTACAATATCATCTATGTATCTCTTCCAGTAATAGATGTATTGTGAAAGGTCATTATTTGGATCCGCAAAAACTATTTTTTCCTCCCACCATCTCAGGTGCAGGTTAGCATATGAGGGTGCATAAGATGTCCCCATCGCTGTCCCCTGCACCTGGTGGTAGAAAGTTCCATCGAACAAAAAGAAATTGTGTGTCAGTATGTATTTGAGGAGTTGTATAGTGAAATCACTATGTTTATCAAACTTACTTCCTCTTCTTCTTAGAAAATGGTTAGTATGTTTTTAAACCTAAGGTATGAGGAATTGAACTATATAGGGACTCCACGTCTAAACTACACAATATAGATTGTGCGGGCATTTGAATTTTTGTTAGCTCTGCCAAAGTTTGTTTAGTATCTCTAAGATACGATGGTAATCGGGTCACCAGAGGTTTCAAGATTTGATCCAGATACAAGCTTGCATTTTGAGTCAAGTTATTATTCCCAGAGACTATAGGTCTACCTGTAAGTACTTTGTGCTGTTTATGTATCTTGGGCAGACTATAAAAAGTTGAGATACGTGGGCTATCACTTAAAATGTAGTCATATTCATTCTTAGAGATCACTGTATCCTGCAATCCTTTTTGTAATTATTTTTAACTCCTCTAGAAATTTTTTTGACGGATCCATTGAGATGACTTTGTAGGTATTAGCATCAGTCAATATTCGCTTGGTCATTTCTACGTAGTTGTCAGTATCCATAATAACGATATTTCCCCCTTTATCTGAGGGTTTAATCGTAATTTCCTTATTGTCCCTTAAAGAATTGAGCGCCCTTACTTCTGCTGTAGATAAGTTAGAGTTGGGTTTCAAAGTTAATTCTGTTGTTGTAATTTTATCAATCTCGTTGCATACCAATTCAACAAAGGTTTCAACATATTTGGCATCACCGAGTTTGGGACAATATTTACTTTTCTTTTTAAGATCTGTGAGAGGACATGAGAATTGATCTGTGATCTCATTCTCCTCTAGGAGATCTGCAAGTAACATGGCCATTTTGTAATCTCTGGGATTAAGGCCTAAAATGTTTGCCTTTTTATCCTCTAGGAGGAGATGATTTTTATGTAGAAGCAGTTTTCTAGCAAATAAATGTATGTCTTTGACCCAGGTGAACTTGTCAAAGTGTGGAGTTGGTATAAATGACAGGCCTTTACCCAGTAGTTCTATTTCTGATGTTGAGAGCCTATACTTGGATAAATTGACCACTTGGTTTTTATTTAATATTGATTCCTTCGGTTGTATTGTTTTCTTGGTTTTAATCGTCGTTGGGGGTAATCTTCCCCCTGTTTGTCTAAAAAAGTGACCCCTTTTTTAAGTATTCCTCTATTCTGTTCGTCTGGAGCTGAGGTGGAAGGTTGAGCATCTAATTCTGACTCACTTGATTCATATTCTGAGGTTGAAATCTGATCTCTGTCTATTTTTCTTCTCCTCTGGAATCTCCTATACACATTAACTGTCTTAAAATCTTTAGTGTCCCTTAGAAATTTTTGGTGTTTACGTTGTTTAATTATAGATTGATATTTCTCCAAATTGTTTTGTAACTTATTTTCATTCAGAGTAAAGTTGGGGTCTGTTTTAAATTGTTGGACCCTATCAACTTCCTCATCAACCTTTTTTTTTCTATATCTTTTAACTTTTTGTTTTCATATTTACAAATTATTTCCATAAACTTGGCAGAGCATTGTCCTGCCGCCTCCTCCCATTCTTTGATGAAGTCTTCTTCATCTATATGTGTTGTTGATGTTGTAGGAACCCCCAGACCTCTTGGTATTAGCCCTTTTTTTTTTTAAATAGTTTTCTAATGATGCTATCTCCCAACTTGTTCTAATCTGCTGTTTATATAATTGAGTTCAAGTATTGAAACCTGCTGTTAATGTGTAGTTGGACTCATCAGGGGGTAAATGAGCTTATGAAAAGATCAAATCTGCATCTTGGCACCACTTAGAAGCATTAGGTAAGTTTGAGAGAAATCCTGCCATCTGAATTAAAAAATTCTGATCTCACAAGTTTTGACCAATTGAAATGGGTCTTAAACCCTTAGAATGAATATAATATAGCTAAATAGGAGCTCTGTTTGCCAAGAACGTCCCAATAGTGGAACAATGGGGCGTGAGAGGCAACACAGAGCCTTTTGGTCAGCTGGTGTTGTCAGCTCCACCAAGGGCTTGGACCCTAATAATTTACAAAATAGTAAGTGTGATCTCCATCTGGGGAGATCATGAAATGCTGACACAAATAATAAATGGACAAATATGAACCACTTATGCACAAAATAGTAATAATAATAACCAGTGGGGTCTTGTAAAGTGGAAAAGAAAAGAACAGGGTCTAAATACAACTATACCATTTATATTGAACAAGAGACCCTTAATTCTTCTAGAAGGCTAGATTAAGAGAGTAAAAATAAAAAATCTTTATTGAATCACAAAAAAGGACTAGCCAAAAAAAGACCATCATTGACCTATCCGCACCACACTCTTCAGCCATCCCCAGCCTAAACGCATTGATTCCTTCGGAAGAGTTTTCCCTACAATACTCCACTATTGACCACGCTATTACAGCTATCAGGTCGGGGGCCTGGCTTAGCAAGACGGATATAGTCAATGCTTTTAAATTGTTACCTATACACCCCTCCTTATGGCACCTGCATGGAGTTAAGTGGCAAGACGACTACTACGTTTTCACAAAACTCACTTTTGGGGCCAAGAGTAGTCCAAGGATTTTCGACATGTTCGCAGAAGCTTTGTGTTGGCTCCTCCTTAATACCTGCAGGTGCCAAAATGTGATACACTACCTAGATGACTTTCTGTTCATCGAAGCCAATACCTACCCCCGTGTAGCCTAGACAAAGCTGTCACACTATTCACCGCACTCGGTGTCCCCGTATCTCCTACCAAAACGGAAGGGCCAGACACAGTCATCAATTTTCTAGGTATTCTACTGGATTCAGCAACAATGATGGCCAGCCTACCTAGAACAAAGATTGATAACATCCTTCATGACATTAGCCACTACATACACAGGGGGTCTTGCAACCGTAAAGAACTACAATCACTTTTGGGTTCACTAAATTTCGCTATGCGCATAATCCCCCAGGGCAGGGCTTTCATTTCCATGCTCCTCGCCCTGTTCCCCACCTTCACCAACGACTATGCCCGCATATCCTTGGACTACCCTGCGACTGCTGACCTCCATATGTGGTACAAATTTCTCTCGGACTGGAACGGTAGGAGCATGTTCCTTCCACAGTTGGATTCTCGGTCACCTGTCATTTGGGCAGACGCAGCATCATCCACGGGATATGCGGCCATTTTCGGCACAGATTGGCTCTGGGGGACTTGGCCAACAGAAACACAGGGTATTGAGGGTTTTACACTAACTCAGCCCTCTTTGAGGTATACCCAATAGTTGCTGCAGCTGTCACTTGGTGTAGGTTATGGGAAGGTCAGTCCGTACGCTGTTTCTCGGATAACCTGGCAATATGCCACATTATCAACAAAGGTCGCTCTTCCTCCTTGACAATTATGAACTTCCTTAGGAAACTGACATGGCTGGCAGCTAACCATCACTTCCACATTGTATGCTCTCATGTTCCCGGCATATACAATACGGAAGCTGACCAGCTATCTCACTTTCAGACGGTCCCTACCCTCGGCAGTTCGTATGGCAACCCCAGCTCCAACCTTCCAAGACCTTGTCATGGAGTAGATGAACTACTTCAGCACAGCCACACTCTCACAAAATTAGCATTATCCACTAGCACTCAACACGCATATCACAGAGCTTTTCACCTATACAAACGATTCATGTCTGACCATCACCTAACCAACTGGTTTGAAGTATCGTCACTAATGGTTTTTGCATCTTTTTGCCACCTTAAACTTAAATTCTCACATAACACTATTAAGCTTTACCTCACGGGGATACAACACCACACGTATTACTCCTTCCCTAACCACAAAGGTTTCTTAACCTCATACCCCATCCGCACACTACTGAAGGGCATAGCAAAAGCAGACGGCCCAGCGACACTCAAAAATTGCCTATTGACATGGAAATGTTCAAGTCATTGTCCAACCTACTCGACCAGGCACCATTTGAACCCAATACAAACGCGGTTATTAAAGCCGCCATGTATCTAGCTTTTTATGGTTTTCTTAGGCCACGAGAGTTCACCATTAGTGGCCAACAACATAACCAAGGGTGCCTCCTCATGTCATATCTCACGAAACACACAGACTACTACGTCCTGACCCTACCTAAGACAAGTCAGATGGGGGAACCAGTTCACATAAACTACAACCCCACTGGTAACAATTGGTGCCCGGTAAAACCGCTGGACGCTTTCTTAGCCACGAAACCTACACACCCCTCAAGACCCCTACTGTTGTTACACGATACCATTCTCACCACGGCAAAATTCATGCTTTACGTCCGGATGCTTATCACCAGACTTGGTCTAAACCCTGGTAGCTACTCGGGGCACTCCTTCAGAATTGGAGCCGCCTCTAGCCAAGACATACCAGCTCATGTTATTAAAACACTGGATCGCTGGAAATCCTCAGCTTACGCCACCTACATCCCGCACGCAGTCCAAGAGATTAGGAAGGCGTTCATTAAGATGTCTACTTAATAATATGTACTTATGTTTACTGAATAAATGATTACCTTGCTTTTCTATTTTTGCCCACTTTATTTACCGGCCTACAGCATACATCAGTTTCGGCACACCTCAACCGACTATTTCCTTTTATTGTATTTCTCTCCACCAGAGTATTCCATATCATATGAGAATGCCCCGAACACAAATATATTTTTATATATATATATTTGCTTTGAGTTTTATTTTTCTTAATAAAACAAAAATAAGTTTTTTTGTTTTTTTTTTAAATTAGTTTCAGATTCCACTAATTTCTAAGGCAGAATTTTAATATAGATATTTTTTTTTTTTTTTTTTTACCATGCACCTTTTATTAACATGAAATAAAAATATATAAAAATAAAATCCGGGAATTATTTTAGAGACCTGAAGCTCAGTGACTTAGAAAGGTTATATTATATGATCTGTAGCATGAGCAAGTTCTTTTGTTCCTCAAACCTATAAACAGGGACGTGTCTTAAACGAGGCAAACAAGGCATCTGCCTTGGGCGGCACTTTGTATGGGGAGGGCAAAAAAAGCTGCACCAAACACCCAGGCAGATCCCTTGTTTGCCTCGTGTCCTGGGGGCTCAACAGTTGGCCGGCTGGACACTTTTGAGCCCCCCCCCCCCAAGGTTGGCGGCGGGCAGCCAGGGAGCATACTCACCTGAGCTCTTTCTGCTCAGCTCCCTCCGCGCTGCTTAATAAAGCCGGGAGCCAGAATATGACGTCACTCCGGCTCCCGGCATCACTAAGTTGTTCACGAGGGAGCTAAGTAGGAAGATTAAAGTTCCCTCGCCTGTCCATCCCCTGCCTGCGCGAACAGCAGCCCCACTGGACAGGTAAGTAATCCACTCCAGCTCTCCCAGGGAGGCTGGGTGGATTTAAAATAAAAGTTTAAAAATAATTTGTGAGTGTTGGTGGAAATGTGTGTGTGTGTGTGTGTGTGTCTATCAGTGTGTCAAATCAGTAAGTGTGTGTATGTCATTGTTTGTCAGTGTATATTAGAGTGTGTCTGTTAATGAGTGTGTGCGTCTGTCAGTGAGTGAGCGTCTGCCAGTCAAAGTGCGGCCTTGACCGGAAGGGGTGGGGAAGGGCAGCACAAATCCTAAATACATCACTGCCTATAAACCTATTCTATGTATTTCATAAATAAGAACAATTTTTAAGACTGTGCATTCACACAGTTCCTTATAAGATTGCACTGGTCTATAGAATAAACCAATCCTAACTTAACTGGGATACAAGAATCTGTTCACTAAACAGTGACTGAAAGTAATTTTAAAATTGGTGTGTAACCACTATACAATGAATGCATTCAAAAGGAAAAACAAACTGCTAAGATTTGGGGAAAAAAGTGTTCGGTTTACAAATGTCCCAGTTGCAGTCATACAAAGCTATTTACTCAAGTGAGAATTTAAAGTGAACTTCAAATTTAAGATTAAAATTGCCAAACTGAAAAAAAAATCTCTAAGTCAGCTATGCTTCTAGGTCGACTACTGGACTGGCCTTAAATTTGAAATTCGCTTTTAATTCTCATTTCTCACTTTCATACATAATCCTGTTTGCTGTCTTAGCCTAAATGTTATAATTCGGTTTTGAATTCACTCCAGTTTGGTGTACTAAATCAACTTTTCCCCCCTAAATTTGTTTCCAACTCACCACAATATGAGAGATGTATATGTGTGTGTGTGTGTATGTATATATATATATATATATATATATATATATATATATATATATATATTCATATATATATATTCACTATAGTGTGTGGGGCTGGCATACATTTTTCAAGGGCTGCTGCTATCCCCAGTCCGGCCCTGAATATACCCATGTGACTAAAAGGTTATTGTTTGGTTGTGGGAGACTGTTCCTGTCCGTGAATTGCTATGTGTTATTCCCCGTGTTTTCCCCTGTATTGTGATGTATTCATGTGCTTTGCCTGCTCCCTTTTCGGGAGCGCCATATGAACAGGTTCCGTTCGCCTCCCTAACTGGGACCACCATGAAACCCCATTTAGAATGTTGTCAAACTGCGTAACGAGGTATCAAAACCACAGACCACAAGGGAAGCTTCGGCACGTACCGACCCTGGGTGGCAGCCCATTCGTTAATCGAATGCCATCCAGGGGGAGAATTTGCGGATTGCTCATACCAATCCATTAGAACGTTGGCAATTCGCAACATAAGTGTGAAACTGCAAGGGAAGTCATTAAGGAGTGCTTCCCTGGGCGGCCGCCGTTTGTATAGGCGGATGGCATCCAGGGGGAGCATGCGTGTCCCAAAAGGTTTCACCCAGAAACCCCTCGAACAGAGACTGTTTGTGACCGTTACCGTTCTGGTTAATTTACTTTAAACAGGCTCTGTTTGTGCAATTGTGACTATATGGTTCATTTACCGAACAACTGCACGAACAGAGACCACCCTGGAGCTTGTTAACACCTATTAACAACTTGGAACGTTTCTCACCACATTGTTCATCTGGGTGGCCACGATTCCTATGAACAACCACGAGGTGGCTGCCAAATGGGTCTCTTCATTTTACATTAGCTGATGTAACCAGTCGGATTACCCTCGACCCACTACAGAGACTGTAGTCTTTGACACCCCAGCCCTTCTGTGTGCCTTATTGCCCCCCTTAGCCCCTCTGTGTGTCTGTCCCCCAAGTTTGTCTCTTTGCCCCTGCGTATCTTTGTCCCACCAATCCCTTTGTCTCTCCGTCCCCACAAAGCCCCCCTGTGTGTCTCTTTGCCCCCTGCAGCTCCCTTTGTATGTCTTTGTCTTTCCATGTATCTCTTTGCCCCTCTTTGTCCCCCCAGCCCTGTGTGTCTCTTGCCTTCTGTGTGCCTCTTTGTTCAGCTAAGCCCCTCTGAGTATGCTCCTCCTTGTCTCTTTGTCCCCGCCAACCCTTCTGTTTGTGTCTTTGCCCCCAAAGCCTCTTTGTGTATCTCTTTGCCACCCCTTCCCCACTCTGTCTTTTTGTCCACCCTCAGCCCCTGTGTGTCTCTTTATCCATCCCCCCCTTTTTGCTGTCTTCCTCCTTCTGCAGTGCCAGCTTACCTACTTGTAGCGTGGTCGAGTGAACTGTGGTGGAGAATCTCTGTATCCACTACTGTCTGGGAGCACTTCCTGTTAGACTTGGTAGAGGATTCAGAAGATTCTCTACTGTGGTGCGCTTGGCCATGCAACATGAAATGATTGACAGGAGGGGAATGCATGGGACAGAGACACACTGGCTGTGCGTGGATGGGAGTGAGAGACACACACACACTGGCTGTGCATGGGTGGGAGTGAGAGACACACACACTGGCTGTGCGTGGGTGGGAGTGAGAGACACACACACACTGGCTGTGCGTGGGTGGGAGTGAGAGACACACACACACTGGCTGTGCGTGGGTGGGAGTGAGAGACACACACACACTGGCTGTGCGTGGGTGGGAGTGAGAGACACACACACACACACACACTGGCTGTGCGTGGGTGGGAGTGAGACACACACACACACACACACTGGCTGTGCGTGGGTGGGAGTGAGACACACACACACACACACTGGCTGTGCGTGGGTGGGAGTGAGAGACACACACACACACACACTGGCTGTGCGTGGGTGGGAGTGAGAGACACACAAACACACACACACTGGCTGTGCGTGGGTGGGAGTGAGAGACACACAAACACAGACTGGGTTGGACAGACTGTCTAAATGCTAATGGAATAGATGCATTCTAAACCCAGAGATTTGTGACAGAGGAGATTAAATAATAAAATGTTACTTTCTATATGTACAAGGTCCCATTGTAAGTTACGGGTCAAAACTCCAGAATTTGCCAGACACACAGTCTGGACAAAACTTAAAGAAACTGTTTGATCTGACAGAAAACTTAAATTATGGCCACTATAAAGATAAAGCCAAATGACGTCAAAATAGCCACCACGAAAAGTTAACTCTTTCCTGGATAGGTATGTTTAGTGGGACAAGACTGCCCTCTATAGACCAAATACCTAAATTGCGATCCCTAGGTAAGCACACCTCTAGTGCTTCTATTGGGTTATCAACTGATGACGTACAGAGAGTCTGGCCCTTTAAAAGTTAGGACAAAGGGAAGACAGTAGGGTTGAAAAGAAGGAAAAAGAGGAGAGAGGAATTGGAAGTTTGGGGACTCCCACTCGGACATGCAGAGAAACCCAGGACAACATCTGAGACTAACACTCTACTCTTTAAACTCTAACACTTAGAATTTTACTGACTTTCTAACCAACACCACCTTTCACCATAACTCATGCACCTACAGACATCCAAACAAGTTCCTGAGACTATCTACCAATCGGATGAAATATCTACTCAACTGGTAATTATACTGGTTTCATTTAACTAATTAAATTAATTAAAATTTACTAATAGCATGATATATGACTGGATAAATCACGGTCAAATTTCCATATTAAGAAATCTTAGTTAACTAAAGAATATATAGTTATAAACATTCCATTCTGCAGGTGGAATTAAGAATAATTATATATAATCACGTGTTAGCATACCGCTGTTTTTATCCAGGTGTATTGATTTGCTCTAAATTAAGATAAAATATATTTTAGACAAATTAAAATCTGCTTATATAAATCTGGTAGATTCTCTTATTGGATGGTTCCAGGAAATGACTAATGAACTGATTTAAATGTTATTTTATTTAAAATTACATAAGAATAGATCCTAATTACCTAGGAGATCTAGCCAGCACTGAAAGGGTTATTCTAACTGTTAGCCAGGGTTTTATGGCCCTTCGCTGTGAAAAGCTTCGCTTTCTCTCTGTGAAAGATACCTCATAAATTGTGTAAGACTTGACAGAAAATGCTGTTTAGCCATTGAAACGTGTATAGCCATTCCTTTGTATTGCATACCATTTTATACTGGATATTCATTGATTATTGTCACGCATGTTAAATAATAATAATATCATTATTATTATTATAAAATAAAATCTATTTTTATAACAAAATTGTGATTTTTATTTATATGAAATACTTTTCACTTAACACGATAACTACCTTTGGGATCTGAGAATTGAATTAGTGGGCAATTCTCACTGTTTACTATTATTATCCCATAAATATCCCCACAAATCAGAAGAGGACCGTATCACTCCCAGTGAGGAGGAATTAGCTGGAATGGTAAAACCATCCTCAGCAAGGTCCTGCAAGGTAAGTAAAGTTAATTTCACACTCACATTATAGTTAGGGCATCCACTGAAGAACAGGGACATGGGTTATAATTAGGGTTAACTACTTTAACCTCTCTCACTCCTTACTCTAACCCTAGCAGTAAGACTAAAATTAACCCTATACATAATTGTAAATTTAATGTTTTATTATGTTATTAATTATATAGCGCCAACACATTCCACAGTGCTTTACAGTGGCTGGACGAACAAACATGTAGTTGTAACCAGACAAGTTAATACCTAACCCTAATTTTAGTGAATGCTAATAATGTGTGAAACTAGCTTTACTTACCTTGCAGGACCTTGATGAGTTCACAAGGGCTTCTTCTCCGCTGGTTACTCCAACAGCTACTCAGGAACAAACAGGATACTTCAGGACAGCAGGCATTAATACAAGATGATACACGTATATCCCATCACCTTTTCCAATAACTGGACGGCACTCCGTATTAGGAGCAGAACTGATCCTTTAATGGCCAGGCTGGCCTTTTATGCAGGTTTTTTCCCCAAAGGTTACCACCCAGGCCTTGTGGGGCACTGATAAAAATATACATCAACCAGTAAAAACAGAGTTAAGTCACAAGGCACTCCCATACACTGTATACAATCCCTCCCCTCTGCTCAGGGGATAATTGAGTTAATTACTGTATCAACTCAATTATCCCAAAACAGAAAAATCTAAATGTTCACACTTTTCTGAAAACACCCCAAAAACATATCCTACATTCATAATTACAATATCCACTGATAGCCCCAATCTGAGGCAGCAACATACTGAAAAATCACCCAGATCGGTACAGGAGTACGAGTTCTTAGTTTTACCAACTTCCAACTTCCGTTCGGGAAGTTGAAATAAATGAAAATATACAACAGAATGTATCGTGTCTTCGTTCGTATGGTTCTTTTTACTGAATGCCGGTCTGTTCCCTTGAGTTCCCACAAAATTATGCGAGGATGGTCTCTGTGGTGTTTGTGCTGTTGCGTGTCCGATTTGGGTTCCAGACACGCGACGACCAATTGCTGGGGCAATTCGTATGTTAAGATGTGTGGCCTGGTTCCTCCTCCTCCTCCCGACCCGGGACCCTACTGTCAAACTGTCCCCCCCCCGAGCATAGGTTGAATGAACCTGGGAGCTAGCCCCTTTTTTCCAGCGAAACTCAAACTCCTTTTGATTAACGCCAGAGGGCTTAACACCCCTGAGAAACGCTTGCTTGCTCTGAAAGATTTTAAAGCTCAAAAGGCCCAAATTGTTTACAGGAAACTCACTTCAGGGAAGATAGTGCACCAAAATTAACCAATCATATCTTTACACAAGGCTACTACGAGAATAACAAGGCGGGCAAATTGAAGGGAACCGCGATACAGACCGAGACCAAAACAGATGGTAATGGTCGTTTTATATGTGTTAAGGGTTCACTACTGGGACAGAACATCACCCTAGCTAACATCTAAACACAGAACACCAAACACGGAAGATTTTTTTTTTTTATATTAAATGTTTTATTGACAAGATTTTCGAGGGAATGGGGTGGGGTACAGAAGTAAAAAGAGGGGGGGGATGGTGTAGGGGGTAACAAAGTTGTCAATGATGTTGCTTAGTGTGTGATACAACTTGATGTTGCATAAGTAATACACAGTATACAATACATGAGATACGGTACATGGGATACATTATACATGGGTCTTTACTCATTTGCTTGACAATTGTAGTACATTGTGTAGTGTGTATGCCGTATCTCCTCCTATATCTTATTGCTATGCACGTTTTTTGTGTTACCTTTGCAAGTGTCTAGCATTGTGTGATATCTGGATATGATCTCGTCTTCTTCAAATGCTGTGCCCGGTTTTACATAGTTTCTGGTTCTGAGTTGGATTTTGGAGGTGTTGGGCCCTTTAGGGTTCTGCCTTGATCGGGGTTTGTCACAGTATGCTGCCCTTGAGATTAGGAGATTTGTCCTGAGTGCTGCTGTATGGGTAGATAAGCGTTCATGGATATAGTATTGATGTATTTTTGCTAATCGGTTGGGTTTGGAGGGGCACTGTGGAAGTTTAATGGTTTGCTATGAGATTTCTCACCGCTAATGCCATGATTGCCATGACGCTTTTTATATGCTTTGGCGTGGGTTTGGGGTACATTAAAAATAGGCCTGTGTGTATATCAAGGGTTGGTGTGGTGTTGCCAATGGTTTGCATTATGTTTTGTGCGTCTTTCCATAGTGGGCGTATGCGTAGACACGACCACCAAATGTGAGTTATTGTGCCATTGCCTATCCCGCACCTCCAGCAGTGAGGGGGAACCGTTTTATACATTTTATGGAGCCTCTGGGGTGTGAGGTACCACCTGTATACCAGTTTTGTGTGCTTCAATGTGGGAGTAGCATCGTGTGAGCCCCTTCAGAGAAGCTAGGATTTCTGTATCGGATGTCAATAGATCGCATTCTGACAGCCACTGTTTCACAAATGTTGGGGGTTGAGGTGGTGATAATCGTAAAATAGTTTTGTAGCATGAGGTAAGGGATTTGGGTTTGGTTGGGGCCTGCCAGCATCTGTCGTATAGAGCTTCTAGGTCTGGTAAGTCGGAGCTGTCAGCTACAGTGTTGTGTGAGACATGAGAAGGAATGATGCTTTTGAGTTGCATGTAGAGAAACACGGAGGAGTTGGGCAGGTGGAATTCTTTTTGTAGGTCTGGGAAGGGCTTAATGCGATTTAGGTGGAGGACTTGGTCGAGCGTGTTTACCCCGTATTTGGCCCACGAGTTCAGTGAGAGCAAGGATGAGATTGCTTTTAGGGTTGTCAATGGTGAGCATGGGTGGAATTTGTAGGTGGCATTTTGCTTTTGATGTGTTGTCCCAGTGATGTAGGGTTAGTATGGTAGTGGGGAGGAGTGTATTGTCTTTGGGTCGTAGTGTCTTTGGCGTCCAGAGTATATTTATTAACGAGGTATTGGTGAGTTGGGCTGTTTCCATGTCAACCCATTGGTATACCCCTCTCGGAGTGTGTAGTTTCACTGCTGCCTCTAAGTTGGCTTTGTAGTAGGTGTATACAGGGAGTGCAGAATTATTAGGCAAGTTGTATTTTTGAGGATTAATTTTATTATTGAACAACAACCATGTTCTCAATGAACCCAAAAAACTCATTAATATCAAAGCTGAATATTTTTGGAAGTAGTTTTTAGTTTGTTTTTAGTTATAGCTATGTTAGGGGGATATCTGTGTGTGCAGGTGACTATTACTGTGCATAATTATTAGGCAACTTAACAAAAAACAAATATATACCCATTTCAATTATTTATTATTACCAGTGAAACCAATATAACATCTCAACATTCACAAATATACATTTCTGACATTCAAAAACAAAACAAAAACAAATCAGTGACCAATATAGCCACCTTTCTTTGCAAGGGCACTCAAAAGCCTGCCATCCATGGATTCTGTCTGTGTTTTGATCTGTTCACCATCAACATTGCGTGCAGCAGCAACCACAGCCTCCCAGACACTGTTCAGAGAGGTGTACTGTTTTCCCTCCTTGTAAATCTCACATTTGATGATGGACCACAGGTTCTCAATGGGGTTCAGATCAGGTGAACAAGGAGGCCATGTCATTAGATTTTCTTCTTTTATACCCTTTCTTGCCAGCCACGCTGTGGAGTACTTGGACGCGTGTGATGGAGCATTGTCCTGCATGAAAATCATGTTTTCTTGAAGGATGCAGACTTCTTCCTGTACCACTGCTTGAAGAAGGTGTCTTCCAGGAACTGGCAGTAGGACTGGGAGTTGAGCTTGACTCCATCCTCAACCCGAAAAGGCCCCACAAGCTCATCTTTGATGATACCAGCCCAAACCAGTACTCCACCTCCACCTTGCTGGCGTCTGAGTCGGACTGGAGCTCTCTGCCCTTTACCAATCCAGCCACGGGCCCATCCATCTGGCCCATCAAGACTCACTCTCATTTCATCAGTCCATAAAACCTTAGAAAAATCAGTCTTGAGATATGTCTTGGCCCAGTCTTGACGTTTCAGCTTGTGTGTCTTGTTCAGTGGTGGTAGTCTTTCAGCCTTTCTTACCTTGGCCATGTCTCTGAGTATTGCACACCTTGTGCTTTTGGGCACTCCAGTGATGTTGCAGCTCTGAAATATGGCCAAACTGGTGGCAAGTGGCATCGTGGCAGCTGCACGCTTGACTTTTCTCAGTTCATGGGCAGTTATTTTGCGCCTTGGTTTTTCCACACGCTTCTTGCGACCCTGTTGACTATTTTGAATGAAACGCTTGATTGTTCGATGATCACGCTTCAGAAGCTTTGCAATTTTAAGAGTGCTGCATCCCTCTGCAAGATATCTCACTATTTTTGACTTTTCTGAGCCTGTCAAGTCCTTCTTTTGACCCATTTTGCCAAAGGAAAGGAAGTTGCCTAATAATTATGCACACCTGATATAGGGTGTTGATGTCATTAGACCACACCCCTTCTCATTACAGAGATGCACATCACCTAATATGCTTAATTGGTAGTAGGCTTTCGAGCCTATACAGCTTGGAGTAAGACAACATGCATAAAGAGGATGATGTGGTCAAAATACTCATTTGCCTAATAATTCTGCACTCCCTGTATATCTGGTAAGCTAACTCCTCCATCCACTTGGTGATTTTGGAGGAAGCATTGGGAGATTCTGGGTTTGCGGGTGTCCCATATGTAGGAGGACAGCACTTGTTGGAGTGATTTGAAATTTTTTGGTGGGACCCGTATATGTAGGAGGTGGAAAATGTACAATAGTTTAGGGAGGAGGACCATTTTGACAGTATTGATTCTGCCTAACCATGATAGTTTAACTGGTTTCCAGCATTGGCACTCCGATTTACATAGGCTTAGGAGCGGTTTATAATTGTATTGGAATAATTAGTCAGTTGTGGGTGCAATTTTGACCCCGAGATAGGTGATGTAGTCTGATCTCCAGTCAAAATCATATATGCTTGTGAGTGTTTGAACGAAATCTTTGGGGAGACCTATAGGTAGTGCTTGTGTTTTTGTTTGGTTTAGTTTATAGTATGTTAGGTTGCCATATTTTTCTAAGATTTGTATCAGGGCGGGTAGTGATGAGGGCACGTCTCTCAGTGTTAAGAGGATATTGTCTGCAAACATGGATAGTTTGTGATCAGACCAGCCTATTCTAATGCCCTTGATTTGGGGCTGGCGTCTAATTATGTGTGCTAGCGGTTCTAGAGAGAGAGGATGAACAGTAGCGAGGATAAGGGGCATCCCTGTCTTGTGCCGTTGGTTATATTGAATGGGGTGGAGAGGAAGCCTGCATTAGAGACTTGTGCTGTCGGGGTATTGTTTAGGGCCATAATACCAGAAATTATTGGTGTCGTAAAGCCGAACGTGCTTAAAACTTGTTGAATATAGTCCCAATTGAGCCTGTCAAAGGCTTTCTCTGCATCGAGTGCTAAGATAAGGCCTTGTCCTTTGGTGTTGTGTGTATGTGATAAAATGTTCAGGATTTTCCTAGTGTTGTCTGAGCCCTGTCTTGTTTTGACAAAGCCTGATTGGTCATTGTGTATTAATGTGGGGAGAATGCCAGACAGCCTGTTAGCTAGGAGTTTCGCGTAGAGTTTGACATCTACGTTCAGTAGAGAGATTGGGCTGAAGTTTTGGCATTGCGTTTGGGGTTTGCCTGGTTTTGGGAGAGTGGAGATGTTGGCTTTTTTTTTTTGCATTTCTGGGGGTAAGGCTCCCTGCTAATAGCAGTGATTAAAGAGTGTGGATAAGTGTGGAGATGGGATAGTAATGAAGGTCTGGTAATAGAAGTTGGTGTAGCCGTCTGGGCCTGGTGCTTTGTGTTTGGGGAGTTGCCTGATTGTTGTTTCTAGTTCTTGGGTGGTGAATGGTGCGGTGAGGGAGCTTATAGCTTCCTGGGAGAGCTTGGGTAGGTCAGTTTGTTCCAAAAAGTCTAGAATGTCCTGTGTGGATGGCTGGGTGATCATGGGGTCTTCCTTGAGGTTGTACAGTGTGCTGTAGTAAGCAGCAAATGCGTCGACTATGTTTTGTGGGTTTGTGAGTTTCTGTTTCGTAGTTGTGGTGATGTAAGCCATTCTTGAGTGGCCATGCGTGCTTTTAGTCTTACTGCTAATAGAGCTCCTGCTCTGTTCCCTTGTGAAAAGAAATTGTGTTTATATCGCTGAAGCATGTGGGTAGTTTTGGCTTGTTCTATGTCCCTGAGTTTGGTTTGTAGAATGGACAACTCGTGTCGTAATGTTTGTGTGGGGTTTGCCTTGGTTTTTATGTGTGAGATCAGTGATCTTGGTGAATCTTTGATTCTTTGTTTTTTAGCGTGGCTGCCTGCCTTAATCAGCAGTACTCTTCTTATTACCGCCATATGTGCCAGCCAGACAGTAGTCGAGTTGACGTCAGGGGTTAAGTTTGTTTTGAAGTAGTCAATAAGGTCGATTTTTAGTTGGTTTACAATGTTAGGGTCTTGTAATAGGGAGTCGTTCAGTCTCCATGTTCCCTTGCCTACGGTGGGGCCCTTTTCCGTGATGGTTAGAGTTATTGGAGCATGGTCTGACCAAGTCACAAGACCTATATTTGTTGTGTGGACTGCCTGCAGTAGTGTAGCTGGGATTAAGAATCTATCAATTCTAGTGTATGTGTTGTGTGCTAAGGAGTGAAAGGTGTAGTCTCTCTCTAGGGGATGGTGGACTCTCCAGGGGTCGAGGTAGTTATGTTGGAGAATTTGATTGCAGATTGATGAGGTGGTTTTGTGCGCTTTTTGCGCGGAAGAGTTGGCTAGTCTGGTGGTTGATGTGGATTCTAGGGAGCAGTCAAGGAGGAAATTCGTATCCCCTCCGATGACAATAGATCCGAATTTGTACGTGTTAGCTAGAGCAAAGATTTAATCTATAAATTCTATTTGATTAGTGTGTGGACCATATATGTTGATGAGCGTGTATGGTTCATAGTTTATGTAACATTGGAGTATCAGGTACCTGCCGTTTTTGTCTCCCGTTTTTTTAATCAGTGAGTAGGCTACTCCTTTTCCTATCAAAATGGAGACCCCTCGTTTCTTCTTCTTATAGTAGAAGTCGTGGGGAAATGCGTTGGAGCAGAATTTGGGGCGGTTGCCCCATTTGAAATGGGTTTCCTGATAGAAGGCGATTTGGGCTTTATGTTTCTTTGCTTCCTCCAATGCTAGTCTGCGCTTATGTGGCGAGTTCAGGCCCTTAGTGTTCAGGGATAGAATATTGTGTCATTGTGGGGGGGGAACGGCTGATAAGTCAATTATTGGCGGGAAGATGCCACCGCTTGATGGGGATTGGTGCTCATGGTGCATGGTGTTGTTTGAGTCGTGGGTATCTCTCTGTATGATGTGGTCAGGATGGTCCATGGGGTGGGTATAGCATAGACACCTTCTGGTGCTTAGCCTAGTCTAGTGTGCCCCGTTGTATATTTGAGGGTATGTCATGGAGGGCATGTTGTTCAGAGTTTTAGAGGTAGCTATTATCAGCATACTGTACGGTTGCTCTGCAGGGACAGGAGGATACGTCCATTGTCCGGAAGGGGGAGGGTAGGGGGGGTGGAAACATACCAAATAGTAAAACATATAAGCGTTAAAAACTATATACATAAAACCGTCGATTGGGGTGCCTTGGGGCATAGACTGTATCGGAAGGGCTCTAGTGAGCCTGGTGGGGTTGTGTGGGTTGACAGATCTAACAACCCTATCATGTTAGTTGTATTGGGTTCACCCTTATGTTGCCGAGGGGTCTCGGTGGTGCTTAAAGGTTGCTACGTGTTTTGGGTGGGATGGGGGTATAGGGTGGGAGCATTTTGCAAGCATTGCTAGTTTGAGAGTGGTGTAGCGTGTGGCCCCCTAATTATATGGTGCCTGGTATCAGGGGTTGGCGGTGCCCTCGGGTCTTTCGTGGGTCCAGTGTGTCATGTGAAGGGGCAGGTAAGCGTACCCTGTGTTCGCCTTTTTGCATGATGTCATTCTCTCAGCTATGTAGCATATATTATCGACATGTAGGGATAAGACAAAATATATTTGCAGAGTGAAGCATTCAATATACCTTGGTCACACTTGGAGATGTGTTAGGTCAGGGACCAAGGCCTGGAAAAGGCGTATGGCGTAAGTTAGGTCTTGGGGGAGGACATCTTCTGGGATGCCGCGGAGGCGGATATTACTGCGTCTGTCCCTATCTTCATGATCCGCTACCTTGTTAGTGAGATATTCCAGTTTGGCTCCCATTTCTGTGTAGGCGTCTGCTAGGGTGTTATGGGCAGAGATTATTTCCTCAGTTTTATCCTCGAGGTGTGCTGTTCTAGCGCCTGAATTTCTGTTTTTATTTCTCGTGCCATTTTTTTGCATATCTGCTTGTAGGGAAGTTTGTAGAGCTTGTAGCATTTTGTGGATAGAGAGGTCTGTTGCAGGTGCCGCCACTGGTTCCGATATTGAGGTAGGTGAGTGTTGTGCGCCGGCTCCATCTTGGGCCTGTGCACGTGGCGGTGTCATCGCCGAGATTTGCAGCGTGGTCTGCTTATGTTTCAGCTTTCTGGCTGATTTGGTTGCCATGGTGGGCACGGGTGGTGCCGTGTGTTGGTGTGGGATTTTGGGGTACCCACTGCTATTCTTGTCGCTGTGCAGGGTTGTTGTCTCACGGAGCTAACAGCTCATGCGACCGTCTCGGTGAGCTGCCAGGCCACGCCCCCAAGGAAGATTTTTTTTAAAGTCCACACTCAAGACGCTAATGTCCTTTACTAACGGATTCCTGATCCTAGGGGGTGACTTTAACATTGCCTTCGACCCACGGACTGACCCCTTACGGGCTCGTCAGCAATACCTGTAAGCAATCAGCCACTTATCTTTTTTTTTTTAATGCAAACGTATTATTTTTAATGCGAGTTAGTGCCTGCGCAGAGGCCTAATCATCTGTGTGTGAATGGATTCATAGGTTGTTGCCTGCGCAGAGGCTCTTCATTCATAACAGTTGTTGTATAGCATTCAATATAGTATCATATTCAAGCATGGTCTCTCTGGGTGCCAGTAGGCAGTAATAAGATAAGTGAGTAAATTTAGGCTGATAAATTAAGAATTAACGTTAATGTACAGAACAATATGAAATCAATATCTTTTGCAATCTGTATATTATAAACAGCGCAGTTAACACGTTATAGCATGCCGTTGTCTTTTGGCTAAATTAAGACTTAGTTGTTTGTCCTGTAACAGCGCTTAAACAGTTTCGGTGCAGGCTTGCAACACTAAAAAAGGCGCAACCGTTAAGAATTGGCGTCCGGGTGCATATTAGTAGAGGAGCAGGCTGGTAGTAGCCCTTTGGGTGTCGCCCTAGAGTCGCCTAAATATGTGCATTAAAGAAGTTACATTCTGAGAGTCGGGAGCTAAATGTTCCATCTAATCTTTGTGTGCGACTCCGTATGTGGTCTGGGCTTTAGAATGTAGTTGGTCAGGGTCTATTTGCGTGTTGATTTAACCAGGCAGTAGCATTTAGCATTATGTAGTATAAACATGTGCGCATACAGTATCTCCTGGCATGTAGGTAGGCACAGGCCCTAACGCCCGCTGTCAGCTGCCGTGTGGGTAATATAGAACGTATCTACTTTATCAAAGATTTATATGCGGAGACCATTAGCTCGCTTCTAAAGCCCGCTGAGACCGGATATCCTTACCTACTTATTCAGTTGTGGGCTTAGTTGTGTACGTATGTGTAGTCGTTATATTACGTATCAGTCTGGTACGTGCGGTACCTATTGGTGTAGTGTGTATGCTGTATCGTGAAGCTAGGGTCTTGGGCATGGGTCTGGGTATCATATCCTGTTACATTTCAGTTATTGAACAAGCCCTAATAAACAGCCTTAGACTTATGCCCTCCGGGGCTCTTTAGCATGGGGTGTCGTCCTGTGTGGCAGTCCCAGGGCTCCCATGCCTCCGCTACAGCACAGTCCCAGGGTCGTCGAACCTCCTTCCATCTTCTCCCCACCAACTCCGGTCCGCTGGCTGTGTCCTCCACCGTGCCGTGGGCACTCAGGGGCTGAGGCTGACCATTCGACCCCACCACCAAAGTCTGTGACCCGCCCGCCCCCTGTACCTCCCCAACACCGTGTTGGTCCACATAGAGTGCGTTCCCCCAAGTCTCTCCCACTGTCGGCCTCACTCTTGGGGCCGGTACACGTACCCCACGGCCACCGGTCCGCTGGAAGGGCAGCACACTCCTGCCCCACAGGGCTCGCGGCAGCGGGGACATAGCTCTCCGGGGACCTCTCTACCCAGAGGCCGGGGTACTCACTTCTCCAGCGGGTGCCTGGTCAGCGCGGAGGTTCTGTCCGGCGTCCACTTCCTCTGTTCTTGTACGAGCAGCCCACGCCAGGTCCCCCCAATACGTGCGTTATTCCGCTCCACCTTCTGGGTCCCCACCAGCTCACCAGCCACTTATCTTAACGGTCCAACGATCTGCCGACATAGGGATCGGTCAGACCACCTCTCCCATGCCGGTAAAGAATGCATTAAGCATCAGGGACGCCGGCCGCTATGCGCCCACCCGTTTTAAGGAGGCGGCGCATGTGTACCAGCAACATGAGGTTAGAAGAACTCTAAACGAGAGCTCAATGCGCACATTTTTTTTTGGGGGGCGTGGTTATGATAATCACGTCCCCAATCATATAAAAGCCCAGTCTGCCCCCAAATCAGTGCCTTGTTGTGGTTCCTAGTGTACCTTGTGTCCCTAGTATCATTTTGATAGTTCTTTGGTTTTGACCCAGCTTGTTCTTGATTATTCTTATTTCTGGTTCCCCTGATTCTGCTTCGTTCTTTGCAAATGTGTGTTTCTGGCTCCCTTGACCTTTGCTTGTTTCTGACATTTCTTGTAGTTTCTATTTTATCTGGCCATTCTAAGGGCCGGTTTAGGGACTTTCTATCTGTCTCTGTTCTGGTGGTTTTCACTCTGGGTATTGGGTATTAACGTTACAATCCTCCTGACTATCGTACCTACCGCCTCATTGACGGCTGGAGGGCCATGCACTTGATGGACAGAGACTACACACATTACTCCATACCCCACTCTAAAAACTGACGCATGCTTTACTTTTTCGTACCTTACTATTACCTCTCCTGTGTCAGACAGGCAAACATAGGTCCCATGACTTGGACGGACCACGCACCGGTGACCATGACCTCCCCTCTCTAGCAACCCTGCACCACCCACTGGTGCCGTAATGAAACTCACTTCTCAGACGCGACCCTGGTTGCAGACGCACACGACGCTGACGCAATACTTTACTGAAAACACGACGGCCATCACGCCTGCACCAATTATCTAGGAGGCCCATAAATGCACGATACGGGGTTTCTTTTTGGTAAGGGGAGCCACGTGGAAGAAATGCAGAGAGACTGTGATCAGAGAGCTCACGGACAAAATCCAGGAATTAGAAACTCGACATAAAACTACCATCACCCTAGACACATATCAAGAACTAGTTGACGTGAGAGGGAAATTATCCTCTCTCCTTAGACATTGGCTCTAACGCTCCCTACAGAACACTAAAGCATTATTTTATGTAAATAGTGACAAATGTGGCAAACTCCTTGCTACCATCATAAATAAGAAATGGAAAAATGTACATAACCAGCCTATGTGATACCCAGGGCCAGCCACAGAGAATGCCGGAACGCATCGCTGAAGTAGCACGCGATTACTTCAAAACGCTGTATTCAAAAAAAAATCAGCCCGTGGATACCTCTAACAAAAACACCTGCCGATAATCTACACACAAAACTCCCGGCAGCATCGTCCAGTGCCCTGGAAGCCCCACTGACTATGGAGGAACTGGCACTGGTACTCAAGACTTCAACTATAACTTGTTGACGAAGGGACAGAAACTTACCTCCAAGGCACTAGAGGCAAACATAGCCCTGATACCTAAAGAGGCTAAGGATGCAGAGCATTGTGCCAACTACCGGCCTATCTCCATATTGAATTGGGATATAAAGCTCTTCGCTTAAGTTCTGGCATCCACCTGCCGTCCCTGGTGAAACCTGACCAAGTGGGGTTCATACCACACTGGGAGGCAACGGACAACACCTCCAGGACCATCTCCTTAATCCACCACGCTCAGCAGACCGGCACAGGCCTCCTCCTATCGACAGATGTGGAAAGGGCCTTTGACAGGGTAAGCAGGGACTTCCTGTTTAGCACGCTCACGGCCCTTGGGATGGGACCAAACATGTACAACTGGATTACAGCACTGTATGCTGACCCATCAGCGAAGATATTCATTAACTGAGCTTACACGGACACATTCCACATATGAAAAGGGACCAGGCAAGGCTGCCCATTCTCGCATTTGCTGTTTGTCTTGGCCCTGGAACCGTTTTTACAGGCAATTCAGAGAAACCCAGATATAAAAGGAATCATGTCAGGACCCTCAACACATAAGGTGGCTGCGTACGCAGATGACCTGATCTTCTTTGTCTCTTTAGCTGAGACAACCCTACCCAACATTATGCGAGAATTTGAACTTTATGGAAGGATCTCTAACGTCAAGATTAACCTCACAAAATCCAACCTGCTTAAAATTAACATACATACAGATTCAAACACTCACACATACATACAGATTCAGACACTCACACTGACACATACATACAGATTCAGGCACTCACACATACATGCATACAGATTCAGACACACTTACAGATTTAGTTGACACTCACATACATGCATACAAACAGATTCAGACACTCAGACCCTCATACAGGCTAAGATTTTAGCCACCCTCCAGGTCCTACCTTTTGGCAGCAAAAGGGTGACTTCCATGCCTTGGGCTGTTAGGAGTTGGGTTTCTTGCTTCCTGTCCCGGTCTGGCTTCCCACATCAAGGGTCGACTCGTACCACAGGTTGGGAACCGCTGCTCTACTGTATAAAGCTGATCTCCCTCAATTAAAGCTAGAAGTAATTCTTCTGGATTCACAACTATCACCACGTGTCATGTGCCTTTATTGCTTCTCCAAGCACTTGAATTGATTTGGGTTCCCCTGAATATAATTAAAGGATGATTTATCCATGGCAAATTTGGTGCCGCAAGTCCTGGGAATAACAGTTAACTTATCCGGAACTGGAGAATCTGTGCCTCTCTGAACGAGTGCTGCAGCAAGGTAATAAAAAGTGTTTATTTTTCTACTTATTACCTTCACCCTCAGAGCAGTGCTTATTCTGTGTCAGGGTAAGTTTTGGACTTAAAAATTATAATTTCCCAAAAATATATTTAGGGACATATGTTCTGGTGGTATGTCTTGTGAAAGTAACATAGAAACACAGAATGTGACGGCACATAAGAACCATTCGGCCCATCTAGTCTGCCCAATTTTCTAAATACTTTCATTAGTCCCTAGCCTTATGCCTATCCCACGCATGCTTAAACTCCTTTACTGTGTTAACCTCTACCACTTCAGCTGGAAGGCTATTCCATGCATCCACTACCCTCTCAGTAAAGTAATACTTCCTGATATTATTTTTAAACCTTTGACCCTCTAATTTAAGACTATGTCCTCTTGTTGTGGTAGTTTTTCTTCTTTTAAATATAGTCTCCTCCTTTACTGTGTTGATTCCCTTTATGTATTTAAATGTTTCTATCATATCCCCCCCTGTCTCGTCTTTCCTCCAAGCTATACATGTGAAAATCCTTTAACCTTTCCTGGTAAGTTTTATCCTGCAATCCATGAACCAGTTTAGTAGCCCTTCTTTGAACCTGCTCTAAGGTATCAATATCCATCTGAAGATACGGTCTCCAGTACTGTGTACAATAATCCAAGTGAGGTCTCACAAGTGTTCTCTACAATGGCATGAGCACTTCCCTCTTTCTACTGCTAATACCTCTCCCTATACAACCAAGCATTCTGCTAGCATTTACTGCTGCTCTATTACATTGTCTGCCTACCTTTAAAGGACCACTCTAGAGAAACTGCTATGTTTATTAATGGGTTAAGCCTTCCCCCAAAGCCTCTAGTGGCTGTCTCATTGACAGCCACTAGAGGCGCTTGCGTGCTTCTCACTGTGATTTTCACAGTGAGAGCACGCCAGCGTCCATAGGAAAGCATTGTAAATGCTTTCCTATGTGACAACTGAATCTTGTGACTGATACTGTTATATATATATATATATATATATATATATATATATATATATATATATATATATATATTATAAAAAAAATTAAAATGTAAATACGTTAAAAAATAAAATAAAAAAATAATTAAAAATAAATAATTAAAAAATATATAGGTGTGTTATTTCGTTCTAACTGTATTGTGAAATATATATATATATATATATATATATATATATCAAAATACACGTAGAACAAATATATATATCTATATACATAAATATATACGTATATATCACTATATATACCTATATATAAAAAAATATTTTTAAAAAATTATATAGATATATACATATATACACATACGTAATATATATACATATATATTTATGTATTATTTTTACATAATTAGGTATCTTAATTACAATTAGCAGGACCTGCCTGACAACCCATGCCGAAAGTAAAGGGAATTTAATTTGCTAGCACTATATTTAACCCTATAACTTTCCGAGACACCATAAAACCTGTACATGGGGGGTACTGTTCTACTCGGGAGACTTCGCTGAACACAAATATTAGTGTTTCAAAACAGTAAAATGTATTACAACGATGATATCGCCAGTAAAAGTGACGTTTTTTGCATTTTTCACGCACAAACAGCATTACACGGACAATATTATTGCTGTGATACTTTTTACTGTTTTGAAACACAAATATTTGTGTTCAGCGAAGTCTCCCGAGTACAACAGTACCCCTCATGTACAGGTTTTATGGTGTTTTCAAAAGTTACAGCGTCAAATATAAGGCTTGCGTTTCATTTTTTCACATTAAAATTCGCCAGATTGGTTACGTTGCCTTTGAGACCCTATGGTAGCCCAAGAATGAAAATTACCCCTATGATGGCATACCATTTGCAATAGTAGACAACCCAAGGTATTGCAAACAGGGTATGTCCAGTCTTTTTTAGTAGCCACTTAGTCACAAACACTGGACAAAATTGGCATTTTTTGCATTTTTCACACACAAACAAATACTAACGCTAACTTTGGCCAGTGTTTGTGACCAAATGGCTACTAAAAAAGACTGGACATACCCCATTTGCAATACCTTGGGTTGTCTACTATTGCAAATGGTATGCCATTATGGGTGTAAATTTCATTCCTGGGCTACTATACAGTCTCAAAGGCAACGTAACCAATCTGGCGAATTTCAATTTCAAATGTAACGTGCTATATTTGACCCTGTAACTTCCCAAAATGCCATAAAACCTGTACATAGGGGGTACTGTCTTACACGTGAGACTTTACTGAATACAAATATGTGTATTTTATTGCAGTAAAAGCAAACAGTATTATGACATTGACCGTTAAAATGTCATGTAGAACTAAAAAAATCCAAAAAAAGTATTTTCTCCCATTTTTTTCATATTAAATTATGTTTCATAGCTAAATATTTGATATTAAATGAAAGCCCTGTTTCCCCTGAATAAAATGATATATAATAAGGGTGGGTGCATTTACTATGAAAGAGGTGTATTACGGTTGGACAGACATGTAGCGCAAATGCCAGGTTTTGTTTACATTTTGATTTGTTAACAACGTGTACATTTGGCTCCGTCCTTAAGGGGTTAAATATCTGTTTCAGCACTATATAGTGTTATGAATAAGTTTGTATTCTAGCAACCCTTCCCCATGTTAGGCGTGCTATGCCGTCCTAAATGAGGACTTTAATGCTGCTAGAGTGATCTTATCTGATCGGCTTAGAAAAGGAATAGTCCTACAACTAATTGTTACTCCAAGTCTTGACAAATCCCAGGTCGCCATTGCAACTGTAACGGATCGCCTGGCACCCAGACTGGATACCTCCATTGAAGGATGCTCCTAGCGCTTACAGAGGGCTCCAAGCGCTCCGCCAGACACCACAACCACTGCCGCAGCTTGGTTGGGGTCTCGCCGTCTCCTACCCACCCTGGACTTATGACAAGGCTCCAGGTTCCAGTGGGTGAACCTCTCCTCCAAGAGAGTGAAGCAGGAACAAGTTCTTAAAAAAGCTTAGAAGTGATTATCCAAGGTAGCATGCAGAGCATAGCAATTCCTTGTAGTGATATAGCAATTCCCCCAATAAGAGACAGGACTCTAGATTGAGGGTGAAGAAGAACTCTCTGTACTGGCACATACAGCCTCTTTTATTCACATTCTACAAACATAGTACTGCCCACAGGGTTTTGAAGAACAACCAATCAACACATTACAACACAGCTAACACTCCCCATTCATTACATCAGAAATCCTCCCCTCTGCCTGTGATACAATTATCTCAACACAATAGACTAACTTAATTGTCACAGGCAGGAAAATACAATATTATAAAACATATCACAGGGACCCCAAAACATGCAATAACCCCATAAAAAGTATATGAACCGGGGATCTGGGTGAACCACAAATTCCCCCAGATCCGTTCAGTAGTTTGGAAGATACGGTTTAATGCAGATTCCACAGAACTTATACAGGCTATATGAAAATAATTACTGTTAAATGTGTCCCCTGTTCTGTAGTTTAAAATGATGTCTTTGTGCACCAAATACCGGCGAGATGGCACAGTGTAGAAAAGTCACAACAGTGTCTGAGTTAAAATGGCCGCCATCCATTGTTCTCACCATGTGCCTCTGATACATGAAATGGTGGCCACCCAGTAACTCCACAGTATGTCCCCAGATGGTTCAGCAGCAGCATAATAAAATACAGTATGCCCAAATCAGTTCCTTAAAGGGCAATACATCCCAGGGCCATAGTCGCAGGGCAGGAGGCTGGCAAATAGGCCCCTCCAAAAACCAGTGGCGAGGTCACTTTCGCCACATATCTCCCCTTTGGGGGGTAGACTAACCAGGTACCTGACCTTCTGTCGGTTGGTGCATGGGAGATATCACTTACCCCCTCCTGCTGGTACTCCTGCGATGGTAGCTGGGGATCTAGACAGGCTGTCCAGCATCCCTGTGGGTCAGGCACAGAGACCACGGTCCCATCTATGCCGTCTGGAAGATTGGTGTCTCCCCTTGGTAGGGTAAGCTGCCGCTGGGGAGAGAGGGTGCTGTGCTCCTCTCCCTGAAACACAGGCGGCCGCTGGAGAGGGAGACCGACTGTCTCCACTCCCGTAACACTGTCCTGCTGCTGGGGAGAGAGACCAACTGTCTCTGCTCCCTGTAGGACACGCTGCTGCTGGGGGAGGGAAGGACGACACCTTCGGCCCCCTGGAACTCACACTGCCGCTGGGGAGGAAGGACGGCACCTTCGGCTCCCTGGAACTCACACTGCCGCTGGGGAGGAAGGAAGGCACCTTCGGCTCCCTGGAACTCACACTACCGCTGGGGAGGAAGGACGACACCTTCAGCTCCCTGGGGCGCACACTGCCGCTGGGGAGAGAGACCGGTTGTCCCCTCTCCCTGA